GTGAATTAGAGGTCACGAAATTGTATGACGTCGATACATTCTGCTCAACTTGTGATCTTCGCCTTGTTCAAATTTATTCCGGGAAAACAATGTTTCAATTATCGTCTTGTTCTCTGCGACGAGCTAATGATCTAAAGGGAATACTTGTACTAATTGACAGGTTAACTCTTCTTCATGGAAATCATATCGACACACACAAACAAGTAAACTTGTATTTTTCATCCCGTCCCACCTACCGTCAGTGGTTGTAGACAGTGTGAAGCTGAACATTGTTACACACACAGCCGTATTAGACAGGCATTCAAGGAGCTGGCAGGCGTACTTCGTCGATGGCAGAAGACCCTGGAGGTGGCAAACTTGCGGACCCTCGGTGACCGCCGTTGTGCACGAAGGGATGGGTGAGAAGTCTACATCAACTCTGAACTCACTGTCGGGCTTTGTCCTCGTACTCGACCAACTTAGGGTAGCAGAATATGGTCCGATTGCCGTGGCATTTAGAACGTAGTTGTCTATAAAGTAGATGCATAAAAGGCGATGGAAAAGAACCTATTTTCGCAAGATAGGCTAAATGGACAATAATTGTACTTTAATTCTCTCTCACATAAATGCTTTTAAAACAAGATTTTGGTATGATAATTCGACTTTCAATCTGTACGCTCTTATTAACGGACTGCCGAAATAGTTTGTTCTGTTTTCTGTGTAGTGCTGACAAAAGAACTGTATGAAGCTGGTCATCGTTCATTTCCTTAATAAATCAGAGATTGCATTCAGCAAACGTATGTCATTGCTTCACGCCCATAGCCAGTCACATACGCATTTCTCTAGTGCACCGATTCCTGGCCACTTTAAATACCTGATGTATGAGTCTACCAGAGTTGAGTATTGAGAGGAAGCAGAAGATGTGTGGCGTAGAGTATTTTCGAAATCAAATTTAAAGTGAAGTTGTGTTACCTTTACCTATTGAGTATATACGTATTTTAATGACATAATCAATTTAAACAATGCTCATCGAATGAGAACGCAAATAGTCACAGAATTTAGAATTTGACACTCGCTAATGAAAGTTCGCCGACTGCTAAGGTAACTCACTTGTCCCGTTCTGCCTTGGTACGCATTCATCGCACCCACACATTGGCTAGACAGTTTAGGCAGGTAGTACTGCCGGTAAAGACAACGGTGACGGGAATGACAATTTCTGGCTTATAATCCTAGCTTCAGCTAGTCATACCCAACCCATATTGATGCACCATTCTAATCCCCACCTCCTACTATCAGAATCTAACGCCCTACCAATTGAGCCGCGAGGTCGTTTTCCTGCCATCCTAGGTCGGAAACGAATGACACTTATTGCTGAATCTTCACCGACCGCTTTGCTTTGGGCTTCATTTCTCGGGCTCAGGCAGTAGCCGAAGTGGCTAGTAGTCCAGGTAAACAGTATTGCCGGAAGAGGTAGTATTGCCTACGATAGAAGCAAACTTTGGGCTAAACGCTTTCTACCGACAAACTAGGGAATCTGCTGCCAAGTATGTATCCATCATATCAGACATTTCATCACCTTGTGTAATCGGACTGCTTTAAAACGAGCTTTTTTTACAGCCATCAGTTTGTAAAAGGTGATAATCTGCCGCGGTATATAATAATATTTGTTGTTCAGCTTTTTAATCTCCTGAGAAATTAATTGATTTTCGCGACATACACATCAGTATATTTAAGGGCTAAGGGCGTAGACCGAAATTGTAAATGTTGTAGTTGGGCTGAAACCCGTCAACCACTGTAAGATATTCACTTGTCGCCGACAGACAGACTTTAGTAGCATAAATTGATGTTGTAACTTACCATACTAACAGCCTAGATACTAGCTAAAAGGCCCAGATACGTGTTTCGCCGATATTCTGCCGCTGCTTGACACAGCTGCGTAGGGGCTGGGCCTTTAAGCTAACACCTAGGCTGTTAGCAATTTGCTGATCGCATCCTTCATGAGGTTGCTCACTCTATCCACTCTGAAGTAATGGCTGCGGAGTCTTTCCGTACCCTGCACCGAGGCTTCCGTCATATGTCTAGCTTTACATCGGCATATTAGCACTCTGTACTCCCATTCCAAGCACGCTACCTTACGTGTGAAAAAGCGGAAATTGAGAAGTTGAAAGCTGACCTGTCTTCATATTAGATGTGGATATCGTATTAACCTTTAATTTTCAGTTCTGTGTTAGCTTTTACCTTTAACTTTTACCCATTACATAACCTATCGTTTGCTCTTCGTAAATGGAGCTATTTTTTGCTGAAAATTGATGATTTTTCATCTTAAATGAAGCAAGTATTATCTCTCGACTATGGTAGGTTACAACAACTGCCTGCTGACCAATCAGGACTGCTAGAACGTCATATAACGAATGGACGGTTGATGATGTTTTACGAACAACGCTTTTAGTTTACTATTAGACAAAGTATATACTGCAAAAAGTATAAGAGGAAACAGCGTCAAATCCTCCTTACGGTTTACAAAAATGCCTACCATTTTGGCCTGTTTTTACAGTGATGGTTGCACTGGGTTGGGAACACATGTCGGCTCGTACGCAGGTTGATACAGTTGCCGAGTACGAAAAATCTGTCTGTAGATTCCTAACTGGACAAATCACTGTCCCATCGCGTTCCAGGGATGTTTCGCAAATGAAGATCCACATCGGAGTTGTTGGGTCCTCCGTTGCCGTCAGAGAAACCCGGTATTCGAAGGAGTCGGCTATGTCGGCCACTGGTTTTGACCAGATCAGTGAAAACGATGTGGGCCAGACATTAGCAGACTTAATGTCGGACGGAGGCTCTAGTGTATCTACAAAGAAGCAGAAAAATAAGATGCTAAAATCCTTTACTTTAAGTTAAAAGGAATCAGCTACTGATTCAAGATCGGCTGATTCACTTTAAAAATGCAGTAAGGTTGGCGTCGAAGCGTTTTTAAAAAAACAGCGATGGCTCAAACTGACATTAGAGGCATGCAAGGGCTTGCCTTCGAATAAGGAAACGATTAGTGTCGTCAAAAATGTTAAACACTCTTCTTATTCTGCCCAGTTTCTCGACCACATCTCTTCTCTGATACGCAGCATCGGTTAGTATACTGTTGGCTCCATAATTAATCATTATGTATGATGTTTTCCTGCCCCAGAGGCGATATTTTGATTATTTAAGGGTTTTGGCAGATTCGTTTAATTTAATTGACCCAATTGTGAAAAACCTAGAGGCGTCGGTGGGTGTCAAACCCGAACAAAAAATCTCTGAAACCTCCTAAATAACTACGTCAGCCTTGTTGTCATTCTGGTGGATTCTACATTGATTGCTTAGGAAATTCTGCTTGGGCAATCAGCTTGCTGTTCCGTGTTGGTAGATTTCACACGAGAGGTAATGTTGGGCGGGTAATATCGGTCCAAGTGTGATTAAATTCATGGTACGAGGTGGGGCGTTTGTAGCTTAGTGGTTAGAGCGTTGGCTTCCGGTAAAGGCCTTCTCTAATATGTGGGTTAAAATCCCGCCGAATGCCTCGAGTTTATTTCACAACTGGGTTAACTCACATTAAGCAAATCTGCCAAACCTTCTTATAGTTAAGTCGGCCTAGTAGTCATTCTGGTGGATTCTAGATTGATTGCTTAGGAAATCCGGCTTGGGCAGTCAGCTTGCTCATCCGTCTTGGTGGATTCCATGCGAGCGGTAAATTTTGGCGGGTCAAGTCGATCCAAGTGTGATTAAATTCACGGCGCAGGCAGGGCGTCGTAGCTCAAATCGATAGAGCGTT